CAATCGTTCGATGGGCCGAATTGCACAAAACGCATGATCGCACCGGCTAGTCTGGTGCGCGTTGCTGTTTATTTCATTTGCTTTAAATAGTTTTATGCTTAATGCATTTCGAGTGGTTTTTTTGCTGCAATTTAGTATTTAGTCGGTGTCCATACTACTGACTTTGGCGAAAGGGTTTATCCGACTTTAAAGATTTTAGCCTTTTGGTTTTCACAACTCAGTTTGGTTTTTATTTCAGCTGTTCTGAATAAATTTTGTAAGTGAAATTCCGAGATGTTTTTGGTGGCGCGTCAGTTAAAAATACTTATCACAAATTCACTCCCACCCCCCCCGTGCCCTCCGCCCTCCCTCCGCGTCCGTTCCCTCCATTTTTCTCCTCCTCGTCATTTAGAGGGCTTTCGGCTAACCTTGCAGTGCCCTTATTCGCTCCTTCCAAGAGATTCCGCGCACCTGCGAAACTCGTTCATGCTCACTCTTTTGGGAAATTCGCAAACTGTAGCCTTTCCCTCAAAAGCATTGTAAGTTACTGCATTAATTTTCTTAATCATCATTTTTGTGGTTTACTGGAACTCAGGAATGTGTAGAAATACATATGTGTCCTGATTGGTGAACGAATAGGTGCATAATATAAATGTAAGATTTCGTAGCTCCTCTGAGATCTAGCCTGATGAAGAATGTGCCGACTTGTGACAAGTGGAACTGGCAGGAACTGATTTTCAGGGATTATTTCATATCAGCGATAAACCGGCCTCCACAGTGTTCCCCTGTCCTTTCTCCAGGGCTGAGCAAAATCGTTTTACCACCCTTCCAGGTTATGACGTGTTTAGTTTTTCGAAATGTTTAACGCACACGAAGGACATGTCTTGCTATTCTATCAGTTTATTTGAGGTAGTTCGTGAATTCATTCCTCCTCAGTGACTGGCAGTTGTAGATTCACGTACCGATAGATACTGACGGTTCGGTGGTAGCGCCCATCATCACTGATGTTAACAATTAATTCATGATATCCCAGGACTAGTCTGGAGGTCTTAATAAAGATTGTTGTCTAAAATTATCATTGCATTAATCACACCAACTTTAAAATATTGGTCGAAATCCAGCTTATTGTTTGTTAAGGTGACCCATTTGCGAAGGCGAAGTGTTGCCATTTGCTGTTTCATCTTATATCCGAAGGCTTTGGGACAGAAGCAGATATTATCAAATTCGATCAGCTGGTAACAAATGCGGGTGAGAAGGAGAAGATTTTGAACAGTGAGCTCGAGAAAAATCCGCGAAATATCTTCCTTTTGTGGATGCTGCTTCGTTTCAAGATCAAGTCCAATCCCGAAGATCTGAAAGCAATCCACGAACTCTTCAAGAGAGCCACTGAAGAGGTGGGCCAAAGAAATTTTACGCATTTTGTTTAGTATTTCAATAACTAGTGGTTTCTGAAGTGCCCTGACGGTATGTGCTTCTGCTTTCCGTGCTGAAGGGCTGTGGTGTGGTGCTGTTATGGAGTCGAAATTGAAATCGCGGTCTCAAAAATCGTTTTTAAGATGTGCGAAGGAAATCACGTTGGAGCTGATATTTATAAACTGATAATCGATTGGGCAATTTGCTACTCAAAGGAGCACGTGCCTGATTATTTTGCGCAAGCAGCTTTTCGCTCACCGCCGCTTATCGCCTGTGAAATGCGAGCTCTGCATTTGTGGTTAGTTATTTCATTTCTGGTACACTAGCACAAGCACATAGCCACTTTAATCTGAAGTGTCTTCAGTAAAAATGCTTTTTTTTTTCACTTATCTCTGTGTTTCATCGCATGACCAGTTTTGGACAGGAAAAGGGTGTGCTTCAGTTTTTGTTTCCGAAGATTCCTTCTTCTAAAGGGACATCTTTCAGTGTTCGGGTTTTACAGTTCCGGATCTATCTGGTTATGCGTTTTTGCGTATATGCAAATGCAAAAACTTATCTTGTGATGACCCCGGTGTGTCCGCGTGTACGTGTGTGTGCGTGCGTGTATGTGTGTGCGCGTCAGTCCAGATATATCAGCTTGGTAATCAAGTAACTTCCGACGCTAAAATTTTTTGAGTGGGTTTCCCGGTCAATTGTCACCCCAGGACCGCGATACCAACCTCCATGCACGCCTGAGCCCGACGTACGAGAAAAATCACTAACTCAGAAACCAGAAAGGCTGAAAAGCTGAAATTTTGAGGTTATGTTCCCCGTCCACGTAGAACTCAAAGATTTCAAATTCGTTCTCCAGGTGTACCTGGCTCTCATGTATGATAAATTTTTCTGAGAGAAAATCGCTAACTCGGGAACTGGAAAGCTAGAGTGCTGAAATTTTAAAGGGATGCTCCCAGCCTACGTACAACTTAAATATTTCAAATTCAACCCCAGTTATGCGTGAATCTCACATATGGCCTCGTGAAAATTTTTGGCGAGAAAATTGCTGACTTGAGGACGAAAAAAAACAGAAAGCTTGGTCAAGTACCGTATAGTTGCACAATTAACTTCTTGAACTTTGAGGGCTAGTATGCCTGTTCTAGTTCCTGAGACTTCAAGCGATCTTACAACGGCACGAAATACAGCAAAAATGCATGATCGCAAGGGTCGCTCGATGCTCGTCGCCAGTGATTTTTATTTCAGTTTATTGCGTGTCTAGTCTCATAAGAGCATTATACTTTTTGTTTTAGCTAAGTTTTATACCGCTCTGGGTTAGCTTTTCACACTTTGGCTCGATTTTTCACTTTTTTCTTCCCCATTCAAACAATGGCTGGAGAGTTTCTTCTGCTGTATATTTGTTTATAATTTAGGTTATGCGAATGTGTTATTCATTTTGACCTGGAAAGTCCCAAAAATCTTCCGGAAATGTATTGTAGAATTAGAATTTTGCTGTATTTTTGTTTACTGCGTATATTTTTGCTTAGCACGATTTTTGCAGCTATCTTTCTTCTGTTTGTCCGAACAAACCGGATTTATACCGGGAAACATATTTCAAATATACACAGTATCCGCCAAACAGGTAAGGAGCTTCTAAATGCTGTGAAGGTTCTTGAAATCCAGAAAATGTGTTTGTTGACATTAAATGAATAAATTCATCGTCCACAGCTCCCTCCCGATATTTCAAAAAAGAGAATTATGCTACTCGACTTATATATCTTTTATTTGTTTGTTGTTAACATGACCTGGTGTATATAGTCTATTGTTGTATGTAGTCTGTTTTTTGCAGCTTGGAAGTACATCGTGCATTTGCCCGGATTGAGCTAAACAGCAAACATTTCTCGCCCCTAATTCTCAGGTGTGCACAAGAACGCATGGTTGCGGAATTCGGAAGTTTAACTCACGAAGCTTGGATTGACTATGCGCAATTTCTGCTTCATTTTGATCCACCATATCTGAAAACACTCTACCGAGTAAGTATTATTTCTTGCTTTTTAATGGAATGATGAACAAGAACAGGGGCTTTTTCGGATTCTTTCCTCCTATATATATCCGACGACGTCTGCCTTGATTTCCAACTGGTAGTGCTCCTCGCTTTCCTTCTTGATGTCAAGAATGTCGTCAGATTTAACTGCCGTTTCCGAATATTTGTCATGTCAGAACATTCCTTTTGTGTGCTTCTGGCATAACCAGCTCTGGCATGACAAAAACAGCTCGGTTTTTACGTCTTCTGCCTAAAATGACGCGTCTTTTTTAAAATATTCTTTTTCCTGTCCTGGTTAGTACGGCATTTTCAGCCTCTATTCCGTACACCTTTTTTAGGATTGACGTTTTTTTTTTGCCAGACTTATATGCTTCACAAATTTTGCGTTTTGCAACTGTTTTTAGGGTACTTCTGGAGAGATATTACATTCCCTTACTGAGTTTTGTGTAATTTATCTCAACTTTTCGGATTTTGTTTGTTTTGTTGAACTTTACAAATCCGCGACCACTTCAGTTTGACAATCAGTGCTTTTTTACGCGTGTAATGCCACTGCTGGCACCAATTGCGTAAAGTATCTGCTTTTCTGCTCATTTGCTTGTGGTCGCGGAGTGGTGTTTATGGAGGTCATTTCGGATCTTTAGGGGTTCGGCTGTAAGATTTCATAAATTTTTTCCCGTTTCTTAATCCTCAAAGATTAGAAAAAATGAGTCAAATCAATTGCTGCGAAAGCCGCATTCAGCTTCAACTATTTTTTTCTGATTTTTAATCCAGTTGTGAAACTTAATTGGTAAGCCCATGTGTTACCCTCCCGTTTAAAATCATCGCTCATGCGCACCCATATCTCATGTATGGAGCTCTTAAAAAATAGATTTTTTGACCGGGCAACAATTTCGGGAACCAGTAGCGTAGGAAGCTGGAACATTGCAGAGAAATTCTTTGTCCAGGTGTGAGTCGTGCGCGCTTGCGTCATGCGTACAAAACTTTGCAAGTTGGCATCGCGCAAACTCGAAAACTAGCCAGAAAACGAAGCTGTAATTTTATTGGAATATTTATCGAACATTTGGGGAATCGTACACCTAAATCGAGTTCTGATTTGCATTTGCGCCACACCTTAGACCACGTCAGAGTTATTTTGGCGACTTCGCTTATCGGACAAGCTGCGAAGCTAGGAGTTTGCTAGGATGTTTTATATTCACGTATGGTCTAAATTCAGCTTGGAGGCTAAATTCCCTGCAAACATTTAATTTTAGCGCAGTTCTGGGAACAAGTGCATTTTGCGGACTTCGTAATCCTTCTCTCCCGATATCCTGTTCTTTGTCAAATTTGCATTTTTCGATAAATAACCAACCGTTGAAAGCTTTGCATTCCTCTTCATGTAACATTTGCGGTAATCATGCATGTCGGAGTTTAAGGTTTCACGCGGCCTCATGCTGCAACAATGTCATCCGAGCTGACTCCCTTTTCCTCCTGCATGTAAGCAAAGAAAATAAATAGCAGCGCGCACCAGACTAGCCGGTGCGATCATGCGTTTTGTGCAATTCAGCCCATC